TGCGCGCGCGTGCGCGGAGGCATCGCGCGCCGTCAACCAACCAACGGCACGCATCTGGAGGAGGATGGGGAGGGTGCGGAGGGTGAGATGAGGAGGAGGAGGCGGAGGAGGAGGAGGAGAATGAGGAGGGGGACGGAAAGCGGGACAGCTGTAGGGAGAGCAGGATAACGATTAGTCAGTGCTTCCGCCCTCCGCGTCGTCTCCTCGATCCCCCCTCTCCATCTGTCGCGTGCATGCTTCGTGCTCAGCCTCGGAGGAACCAAACTTGGGGCCTGCTCGACAGAGGATCTCACCCCACGAAGGCTGGCGCAACAGTGGACTAGTTCATTTTTTGTCCCTACCAAGATGGGGTCCTTGCGCGCTGAGGTCGAGCAATAATCAATCGCCTTGCTCCCCGGAGGATCACCGAGGGCGCAGCCCTGCCGATGCAGGACAAACTGAATGAGTACTACGCGCAGTGGTGGTCGCAGTACGGCAGACAGGCGGCCACCCTCGGCGCCCCCTCTCCCTCACCCTTTTCCCTTTCCCCCCCTCCCTCTCCCTCACCCTTTTCCCCTCTCCCTCACCCTTTTCCCTTTCCCTTTCCCCCTTTCCCTTTTCCCTTTCCCCTCTCCCTTTCCCTCGGCGCCCCCTCTCCCTCTCCCTCACCCCCGCCCTTTTCCCTCTCCCTCCCCGTTGCCCGCCCCCCTCCCCCCTCCGCAGTCACAGTCTGCACACGCTGAGGTAAGGAGCGGGTTGGGTTTTGGGAGGGTCTCGCCGCTTCTTGGGTCCTTCCATATTCGTTCCTGTGGCGCTCCTGGGGCATCCAGGCGCTGTTGGGGCCAAACAGGGGCTTCGTGCCCTATGTTGCGTTCCCTGAATGCTAGTAGCTTGACTGTAGTCATTCTGAACATTGTTCTTCTCTCCCCTGATGCTGCCTTTATTTTCCCACATCTATCCCACATCTATCCCGCCTTGGGACATACACTTCAAGACAACGGCTCCACTCAGACGTGTTGGCAACGGACGTCGAGATCGATGTGGAAAACGTACTTCGGGAACTGCGCCTCCAAGGTCGCTGTGAAGATGCCCATGGGTCTCCGGTACACCCTCATGGACCGATCTGTGCTGCCTATCATGCAACATCGCGATACACGGTGGCCGCCGACCGCCTTGAGGCAAATGCAAATCGACACGGTTCAAAGGAAGATGGTCAGCTCCATCATGCGGCTCAGCCCACATGCCCATGAGGGCCCGGTGGAATACGTGCGAAGAAGAAACAGACACGCTACGACAAGTATGAGCCAGAAAGGAAAATGGAGCATGAAGCATTGCTAGCGAGTGGCCGATGGCCGATTGGAGTGAGCACTCGCAGAGGCCCCGGAATAGTAACTCATGGGCCGCCATTCTCCTGCAGTTTCGTGACTCCGAGTGGCTCGAGACCCAGCGGCTGTACAATAGTGCTGGTTCCGAGAGCCGCACGCGCACCCGTGCCTTCCGCGGCTTCGTCGCGATGCCATGGCAGGACGGAGCTAAACTTGCAGCGCAGCGGTGCTCTCGCTGAGCGTTGTTTTGTGAATGAGTTCTTGTGAATGGTGTCTTCGTGTGGCCAATGCGCTGCCGAGCTTTTGGGCTGACATCGCCCCAACTGTACTGTACTGTATTGCTTCTTGTGTATCGGCAGGATTTTCCCGAGTTGGTTTTCGATACTTTGGTGTTCCCGACGCAGCTTTGGCCGCATTTCAGGATATGCACTTTGCTCTCGTCGTTTAGACTTGCTTGCGCTCTTGCCAAGCGCGAGCCACATCCTTGATCCAGTTCGTTCCTCGTCGTTGCCGTCTCCCTTTTTTTCCCCCTACTCCCCTTCCCATTGGTCCTCATGTTCCTTCTGCTGCTGCTGCTCCTCCTTCTGTCCCCTTCCCTTCTCCTGCACTTCCTCCTGCCCCTCCTGCTCCTCGACCAATATTCACGATTGGTTCGTGTTGGGGGTAAAAGTCATCCAGGATCTAGGGCATCCAGGCTGGTGGATAGATCAACCATTGACGCATTGTAACAGGATCAGCGGGAGGGGTCGGATCTTAGATGTGGAGCGAGCGTACTTCGTTCGGCTTTCCCCCTCTCCGCTCTCCCCCCTCTCGCCCTCCTCCCCCCTTTCCACCCCTCTCCACCCCTTTCCCGCAGAACCCCACCACCAGGTGGCCGCCCTCCAGCAGTACGGGCACCCACTTCAAGCTCACCACAACGTGAAGCTTGTAGCGGGCTGCATCAACGTAGCACCCGCAGCGGACGACGCCAAATCGAACCTGGTGGCCACCGCCGACGCCAGGTTACGACGGGATGTCGCCAGACTCCCTTGTATCGGGTGGCTACGCGAAGGCACCCAAGCGAAAGCTTGATCAGTACGGCCCTTCGCTGCCACCATGTACACCATTGGCACCGACATCCAAGCGCCCACTCTAAGAACTAGTAAGCTTTACAACAACACAGCGCTCGCCACCATGAGGCCGGAATGATTATCCTGAATATCACAATCTACAGTGGGCTCTCTACGCTCACGTTGTTCTTTCCTGGGCATGTTATCGAACTCACGCAAGGGGAAGCGCTGCTCGGGCTGAGAAGGACAGTGCGGCGAGCGAGACACACGTGTCAACCCCAAAGCCGAACTGCTGCGAGACCGTGCGAAAGCCTTCCATAGAGGATGTCCGGAGAGTAGAGTTTGGCAAACCATTGTCCAATTCGAACGGATCTGGCCAGCGTGCGTCACGATGTGCGATGACTGGGGACCCCCCTGCGTCATGGCTCAGCCTGCCAGCCGGGCTGTTCACGCATATGCTCCGTGCCTCACATAGAAGGTTCTTTTTGCGGCGCATCCTACCATCAGACACGGCCTGGGTCCCGTCGCGGCGGTCCCGACTATTCCGTCCTCCTCCTCCTCCTCCCACCTTCTCCTTCTCCCATTCCTTCTCCTCCTCCTCATCCTCATCCTCCTCCTCTTCCTTCTCCTCTTCTCCCTGATCCTCCTCCTCCTCCTCTTCCTCCTCCTCCTCCTCATTCTCATCCTCATCCTCATCCTCATCCTCATCCTCATCCTCCTCCTGCTGCTCCTCCTCCTCCTCACCCTACGCTTCGGAGGAGGAGGAGGAGGAGGAGGAGGAGGAAGAGGAACAGGAGGGCGGAGGAGGAGGGCGGAGGAGGAGGGCGGAGGAGGAGGAAGAGGAGGCGGAGGAGGAGGAGGAGAGGAGGAGGGACAGGAGGAAAAGGAGGAGGACGAGGAGGAGGAGGAGGGAAAGGAGCAACAAGAGGAAGACGAGGAAACAGACGGGGAGGACCGATGGAAGGAGGAGGAGGAAGGAGGAGGAGGAGGAGGAGGAGGAGGAGGAGAGGAGGTGGGACGGGGGAATGGAGGATGCAGCGGCGGTTGGATCGTCGTCGTCGTCGTCGTCGTCGTATTCTTCGTCGTCGTCGTCGTAGCGGTCGTCCTCGTCCTAGTCCTCGTCCTCGTCGTTGTCGTTCTCGTCCTCGTGTTGTATTCGTTTTTGTCGTCATGGTTTCGGTCGTATCCGTAGTGGTCGTCGTTTTCGTCGTCGTGTTCCTTGTCGTCGTCGTCGTCGTCGTCGTCGTCGTCGTCGTCGTCGTCGTCGTCGTCGTCGTAGTCGTCGCCGCAGTCGTCGTCATCGTCCTCGTCGTCATCGTTGTCGCTGTTGCGCGTCGGGTCAGTTCTAATTTCGCCAATAGTGCGAGTCCTAGTATTTCTGCGAGTGCGCGTGCAGTACGAATGGAGGGAACCACACAGATAGTAATAAAACGAAGCATTCAATCGCCGTATCATTATCAATCTGGCGAAGACCAGCACGCCTCATACTATAAACTTTCGTGATAATGGTCGCGCTCATACTCAATAGTATCAAGCTGGCTGATGCGACAAAGTATTCTAATCATGAGCAAGTGGCGGGCACGAAGTTGCATTTTAAAGCTACTCGCCACGCTGTTAATAATTAGAAGAGGAGGAGGAGGAGGAGGAGGAGGAGGAGGAGGAGGAGGAGGAGGAGGAAAAGGAGGAGGAGGGGCCCTCCACAAAAACCGTCATGCGCCAGTCTGTGTGTTGCTGTCTCCTCTCCTCGCCCCCCCCCCCGCCCCGTGCGCCGCCCCGTGGGCCGCGGAGGCGCAGCTCAGCGCCACGACCGCGGCGGAGCCCGAGCAGGAGGACGCTCCCGAGGAGAGCCCTCGGGGGTGGAAAAGAGGCATGCAGGGGGCAGAGCGGGAGAGGACGGGGGAGGGAGGGATCAGGACGACCGACATGGGTACGGAACGAATGGGTACAATGCCCAACCGCGGATCCTGTTAATTTTGAACAGGATTCGCTATCCACGCCGCCGCGGCCTGTGTCCATTCGAGACAGAAGGCCGCCTGCCCAACATCGGCCGCTGTTGGTTTGGGACAACATTTCTTGTTGGACATTGTGCCCATTGTTTCCGTACCCATTGCGGGCGTCTAAAGAGGCAGGCAGGGGGCAGGGAGGGAGAGGGAGGAGGGAGCTGGACACTCTGCTGCAGCATTTCCTCCTTGATCTCCCTCTCTTGGTGCTGGTCGCGGAGGGGCTGGAGGCGTCGCGCCCCCTGGATTCTGAGGCATGGGAGTCGTCTCGAAGCAGGGCGATCAAGTGAGGAGCGTGAAGAAGGGGAGGGAGGGAGAGGTGGAGGGAAGAGGGAGGGAGGGAGAGGGAGGGACGAGGGAGGGAGGAATGGGAGGATGAGGAGGAGAACCATATTAAAATGATAATGCGCCAGCGATGCTACGAAAGAGCGCGCCCATGGAACACTCCTGACTGAAAGGGAGGCCCCAGCCTCAAGCTACCCCCCCTCCTTGGGAAAGGGGGGGCTTCCCAATGAGACCCCCTTCTCTCCCCCCCCCTTTTTACATGTATTTTAGCCAGGGGGGCCCTCAGTAAAGGGGGAGGGCCCGAGCTCCCTTTTCCAAAGGTGGGGAGGGACTTCCGAAGCTACCCCCTCTTCTTTTGTGTGGATGTTGTAGCTGGGGGTCCCTCGGTAAAGCGGGGGGGGGGCTTGGAAGCTACCCCCCTGCTCCTAGTCTTTTCGGGGCTCGGGGTTTGCCTGGGGTCCCCTTTCGTAAGGGGGGGGTTCTTCCGAATCTACCCCCCGCCCCCTCCTTCTGAAGGGGGGCTTCGAAGCTACTATTCTTCTTTGGTTTGCGCGCCCCTTTTGTTTTCGGCGTGCTCGTGGTTTTCGGCGCCTGTTTGGTTTTCGGCGCCACTTTGGTTTTTGGTGCCCCGTTGGTTTTCGGCGTCCCGTTGGTTTTCGGTGCCCCTTCGGTTTTCGGCGATCTGTTATTTTTTCGCTCCTTTGGTTTTCGGCGCCCCTTTTGGCTTTCGGCGCACCTTTCGGTTTTCGGCGCATGCTGGTTTTCGGCGCCCTCGTGGGTTCTGGCGCCCCTTGAGTTTTCTGCGCCATCTTGGTTTTCGGCGCTCCTTTGGTTTTCGGCGTCCTCTTGGTTTCCGGCACCCCTTTGGTTTTCGGAGCCTATGTGGGGTTTTCGCCTTCGGCTGCTTGGACCTTTTGTTTTCGACGTCCTTTTGGTCATCGGCTCCCCATTCGTTTTGCGGCACCCATTTGGTTTTTGGCGCATCGTTGGTTTTGGGCGCCCCTTTGGTTTGCGGCGCCTCTTTGGTTTTCGCCGCCCCTTTGGCTTTCGGCGCCCCTGCGGTTTTCGGCGTCCCTTGTGTTGTCGGCGCTTTTTTTTTTTTTTTTTTTTTTTTTGTTTTTTTGTTTTCGGCGCCTTGTTGGTCTTCGGAGCTCCTTCTGTTTTCGTTTTCCCTGTGGTGTTCGTTGCCCTTTGGGTCATCGGCGCCTCTTGGTTTTTCGGCGCCGCTTAGGTTTTCGGTGCATCGATGGTTTTCGGCGCCCCTTTTGTTTTCGGCGCTCCTTGTTGTTCGGCGCCTCTTGGGTGTTCGGCGCCCTGTTGGTTTTCGGCGCCCTTTTCGTTTTCGGCGCCCCTTTGGTTTTCGTGGCCCTTTTGGTTTTCGGCGCCCTTGTCGTTATCGGTGCCTCTTTGGTTTTCGGCCCCCCTTTGGTGCCTCTTTGGTTTTCGGCGCTCTTTGGTGTTCGGAGCACCATTGAGTTCTGGCGCCCTTTGTGCTTTCTGCGCATCGTTGGTTTGCGGCGCCCCTTGAGTTTTCCATGCACCTTCGGTTTTCGGTGCCTCCCTGGTCTTCTGCGCCCTCCTGGTTGTCGGCATCCTTTTGGTGTTCGGCGCCCCTTTGGTGTTCGGCGCTCCTTTTGGTTTTCGGCGCTCCTTTGATTTTCGGCGTATTTTTGGTTTGCGGGGCCCCTTTGGTTTTTGGCGTTGTTTTGTTCGGCGCTCTTTTGGTTGTCAGCGCACCTTCGGTTTTGGGTGCTCTTTTGTTCTGTCGGCTTTCTGTGGTTTTCGGCGAATCCATGGTTTTTCGGCGCTCCTTTGGTTTTCAGCGCCCCTTTGTTTTTCGGCGCTCTGTTGGTGTTCGGCGCCCCGTTGGTTTTCGGAGCCCCTTCGGTTTTCAGTGCCGTCTTGATTTGTTCGGCGCTCTTTTTGATTTCGGCGCCTCTTCGTGGGGGGGCATCCTTTTTGTTTTCGGCGCACCTGTGTTTTCGGTGCCCTGCTGGTTGTCGGCGCACCGTTGGTTGTCAGCGTCCTGTTGGTTTTCGGTGCCTCTTTGGTTTTCGGCACCCCTGTGGTGTTCGGCGCCCTGTTGGTTTTCGGTTTTCGGCACTCGTTTGGGTTTCGGAGCTCCTTTTGGGTTTCGGCGCACCTTTATTCAAAGCGCCCTCGTGGTTTTCGGCGCCCGTTTGGGTTTCGGCGCCCTTTTTGGTGGCGCCCCTTTGGTGTTCGGTGCCCGTTTGGTTTTCGGCGCCTTTCAGCCTTTCGACGCCCGTTTGGTTTTCGATGCCTTTTTGGTTTTCGGTGCCTTTTTGGTTTTCGGTGCTCTTTTTGTTTTCGGCGCCCCTTCGGTTTTCGGCGCTAGCCCTTGTGGTTTTCGTTGTCCCTTTCTGGTATTCTGCGCTCCTTTGGTGTTCGGCGACCCTTTACTGTTCGGCGCCCCTTTGTTTTTCGTCGCCCCCTTGGTTGGCGGCGCCCCTTTGAAGTTTGGCGACCCTTCGGTTTTCGGCGCCTTTTTGGGTTTCGGCGCTTTTTGGTTTTCGGCGCCCTTGTGGTTTTCGACGGTTCTGTGGTTTTCGGCGCCCTTTCGTATTTCGGCGCCCCTTTGGTTTTCGACGTTCTTTTGGTGTTCGGTGCCTTTTGGTTTTTGTCGCCCCTTTGGTTTCTGCGCTTCTTTTGGTTTTTCTTCGCTCTTTTGGTTTTCTCCGCCCTGTTGGTTGTCGGCACCCTCTTGGTGTTCGGCGCCCGTTGGTTTTTCTCTGCTCCTTTGGTCTTCAGCGCTCTTTTGGTGGTCAGCGCCCTTTTGGTTTTCGGCACCCTTTCGGATTTCGGCGCCTTTTCGGCCTTCGGCGTTCCTTCGGTTGTCGGCGCCCCTCTGGTTTTCGGTCCCTTTTGGTTTTCGCTGGCCCTTTGGTTTTCGGCGCTCTGTTGATTTTCGGCGCCCTTTTGGTCTTCGGCGCCCGTTCGTTTAGCCCAAATGGGGGGGGGTCCAAGCCCCCACCCTCCCTTTAAGCCAAAAAGGGAGGGAGGGGGGTGGTTCAAAGGAAGGGGGCGAGGAGAGGGAGAGCTTCTGGAACGCCAGAGGGGGAGAAAAGGGTGGGAGTAGCTTCCGCAGTGCGGAAGAAAGAGGGGGGGGGGCTTCCAGCAGGGAGGGTCTCACAGGGGGGGGGGAGGGGAGAGCTAAGCTTAAATCGGGCCTGTCCCTCTACAGGGGGAATCTTATATTCAAACAGAGTCAAACCGTAATCTGGGGACGATTTTTGAATATTTTTTGACCATGTTTAAGTCTTTTTGAATATTTTTTATTTTTCATTCAAAATCCCCCTGTTGGGGGACACGCCCGACTTAAAGCTAAGCCCCCGCCCCTTTGGAAAGAGGGGGGGGTGGGGGGTAGCCTCTGCAGGGCGGAAGGACGGGGGATGGGGTGGGGGGAGCTTCCGAGGGGTGGACAACATGGGGGAGGGGGGGCTTCGGGCAGGGGAGGTCCATGGGGGGGGGGGGGGGCAGCTGAGGGGGGGCCCCCCCCCTCCTTGCGGAGTGCTCCACGGGCGCGCTGCGATGCTGTGATGCGCCCTTCCCCCTCCGTCTCAAGGAATCTTCCTCACGAGGCGCTGCACACACCTCCTCTTCCTCTTCCTCCTCCTCCTCCTCCTGTTCCTCCTCCTCCTCCTCCTCATCAACATCTCCCCCCCCTCTCTCTCTCTCCCTCCTCCTCCTCCTCCTCCTCCTCCTCCTCCTCCTCCTCCTCCTCCGCCTCTCACTCGGGGAAGTGGAGCCCTTGATAGACAAACGCCCCATGGGTCTGCCGCTCAGGCATGAGCTCCGTTCTGAAGGGAAACTGGGACGAGGAGGAGGATCGAGGTTGGCGCACGGCGAAGCCCGTCTTTGGCGCCCGCTGCGGTGCGCTCGCTCCCCAGGAGCAGTCGTCCGCGCCCGCGGCCTTCGACAAGGAGGCGCTGCTGAGGCCGACCTGGGCAGCCGGCTTGGGCCGGGGTCGGAGCCACGGGTCAGTGGAGGTCGGGTGACGACAGGGGGGGACTGGCTCAGGGGGGGGCCCGTTGACCCCGAATCGCCCCTTCCTCGCCGATCGGCCGAGCGGGGCCTGGGTGCCCCAACCTGCCCAGGAGCCTGGGGGTTCATCATCGGGGGCTATCGCCGACCATCTGCGATGCATCACCGATCCCAGGTCATTGGTCCCCCCGCTTGTGCCAGTCACCCCTCTTCGGCTCCCCTCAGGTCGGGCGACACGAGCTGCGCACATGCACCGACCCAGACCAGGCACGTCCTGGACCAGGAGAGGGGGCCAGTAGGCGGCAAGCTTCCAAGTGGCCCACTGTGGTCGAAGACAGGTCCCAGCAGGCCTACATGCTTCAACACACACACACACACACACTTTGCTGCTTGGCATTCGAGAAAACTGCCTTCTCTCCTTTCCGCGTCGTCCCTGTGGGATTCTGCGGCCTCGGTGCAGTGAGGCCCTGGAATCCCAGAAGAAGCCGCCCTGGATGGGTGTTTACGCCTCCCTGGCCAAGCTGGGAGTCAGGAGGAGAAAAAACACAGACACAATAGATCGCCGAGTCCCAGGAAGATATGGGAAAATATGGGAAGTGGGGGGGAAGACGAAAACCCAGAACATATGGGAAACTAAGTATAGGGGAATCCTTTTGTCTGTGTGTATGTATTTGTGTGTCCTGGGACCCCTTCAGGGAGGGCGTGGGGCACCGATCCTGGGCCCAGGGACAGGCCTGGCCAGGGTCGGCGTGTATGCGTGGTCGGCGTCTTCTCGTTGGTGCAGGCAGGAGTGCGCGGGTAGTCCTTGCTCCTCCCCCCCTTCTTCCTGCCGTCCTTGTGCGTGCCACTTGTGCTGCTGCAGCTTCTCCTCCTCTTCTTCCCTGCTCTAGTTCTCACCCTCCTCATCACGCGCTTATTTTTTTCACTGTCCTCGTCCTCGTCATCTTCCTCGGGGGGGGGGGGGGCCGATTGCTGAGGATGGGGTTCGAGCATCGGGGTTCAACGATGGTTGTTTTCGGGTCTTGCTGGGTCTTCTATGGGCCTCTGGGGGCCTCCGGGAGTCTCCAGGCTCTGGGACATCCATGGGCCTCCCGAGACTTCAGGGAGCAGGAGGGAGGAGGCGGAAGGAGGAGGAGGAGGAGGAGGAGGAGGAGGAGGAGGAGGAGGAGGAGGAGGAGGTTGAGGAGGTTGGGCAGGAGGAGCATGATGACGATGACGATAAGGTGTGTAATGGCAGATCAAGAACATGTAAGATGTTAGAGCTCTGGCAGGGCTCTAGGGAGACCCTACACTTGACCAAGACGGCCAGAGAGTGAGTCTGGGGCCCTCCACCAGTGCCTCTGGAGTGGATCAGGGTGGC